ACACTATTGAGTTATGGATGCACTAGGGAGGTTTGCTAAGCACTCAAGAAGCTAGAGTCGCCCGAGGCGATAGCCGAGAGCGACTCTTACGCTTCTTTTGTGCTTAGCAACCTCCTGCGTGCATCTGTAACTCAATAGTGTACGCTGTGGTGTTTACCATTTGTTAATTACTTTATTAAATATTTTAAGTCTACGTTGGTTTTCTTTGTGTGTTTAGATGTTGTGGAGGAGCTTCACAGAGTTGCATTCAGGTGTGCTTGTGCTTCTTAGGCACAGTTGCTGTAATGATTTGAGTTTATATCTAGGGTTTCTGTTGAGAAATGTTGTAGCAGGCAATTATTGTCATGTAACTGGGGAATATTCTAAATAGCAGCCAAAGAATATTCAAAACTCCAAAGTAGGATTGCCAATAAGTTTGAAAGTAGAAGAAAGATAAGAAACAGTAGGAGGCCAGAATATTGTAGTCTTCATTTTTTTCCATCAGATTGTAGGAAAAAGGCTGATAGTTTCTAAAGAAACTGTTTGGGGCTGCATCGGTGGGGGTAACGAAATAATTTGAATATATCAACTAAGTTGAAATGGTAAATTGGCCACCATTACGATTATAAAAGCTGACGTTTCGAGCATTAGCCCTTAGTTGGAGCGAAGGACTAACACGAGAAACGTCAGCTTTTATAATCGTAACGGTGGCCAATTTACCATGTCAACTTTGTTGATATATTCAAATTAGATTGTAGGAAAGACTGAGAACTTTTCATTTAAAATGTCGCATGCACAAATCTTCAAGTAAATTCTGAATGCGGAATCAACTTATACATGCACATATAAACTTCTTACAGGTAAATTTTGCCTTCAATTTTACTCAATACAAATTTCTTGGATGGCATTTCAACAATTAGATAACTCTTCATCAGCATTTGTAGTAAAATGGGGTCAAAATGGCCAGCTATCTATGGTAGACCAGTGGCTGGTTCTGGTTGGCTCAGCCCTGATGCCTAATGTGCACACTATGCTACGTTAAGAGTGAACTGAGTTTGGATTTTGTTATTAATTTGGGATTGCTTTGTGTGTGTCTTTTCCACTTCAGGAAAACATTGGGAAATTCACTGTATTGCTTGCCACACAGAACTGGAAAATTTTCTTCTGAATTGGTGAGAACGATTTGAAAGTATTCATAACATTGCGAGAATTATTCTCCTTTGATGTGATAATAATTATTATTGTTGAAGACCAGAGTTAAATGTAGATCGTACTCAACTCAGTGCTCATAATTTACTTTAGATTTTCCCGCTCAAGTGCTGTTGAGATTTTAAATAAAATTGGTTGAGGACTAGGTCAAATTTTTCCGTAATCACCCTATGAGAGGTAATTAGGATGTTAAGGCACAATGTTCAGTATTGCCACATTATGATTCTTTCAATGTAGAAGAAATGAAGAAGGAAATGATAAAAGAAAATCCTGCTCCTGTGATCACCTGAATTAAATTTTTGTAATATGAAGGTTTTATTGGAAACTTTTATTCATTACCATTCAGCTAAAAGAGTATACTGAGCAGTGTTATGTGGGGCAGCGCATGACTCTTGTTGGAGTGGGTAAGTTTGAATTAGGGATTATCAGCTATGATCAAAGACATTATGGTACACAGGCAGATTTACACAATCATGTCTGAAAAGAAGGCCCAACAAGTCACTGTTTATCAGGATGTTGTTTTTTGTATCTTTGAAATGTCAAGGGTTTGCTTTTTGTTTTGTGGTGTGGTTAGAGCTATTTAGAAATTTGAATTGAAAATTGTACTTTCAGAAGGAAAATTATGGAAAAACATGACTCAAGTTTATTTTTACATTCTCCTGGTATAAAGTCATCAAAAAATGATTTTATGAAATTTGTGATAAGCATTTCATTACAAATTTTAATTTAAACCTCTAAGTATTCCAAACAAACCTCCAATCAAACATAATAAGAGAGTAAAAATATTGCAAAGTTCTCAGCAGAAGATAGTCAAGATAATATTGTTCATAAGTGACTTAGGATGCTTCTGCTTCTTGATGTAAAACTGCCAAACTTTTCTTTCATGCTTCTGCAGGACCTGTCACCACATGTAGACACTAAGATTTAATTTTCTTTCCTCAATGTCAAAGAATGATTCATTTCATTCCACAGGGGTTGATCACAGTCAGTTGGTTGACTGGGCCAAGTCAACTCTTTCTTTCCTTCCCAAAGGTGAACCAGCTACCAAAGAAGCTGCAAAGTATCATGGAGGTAAGTTAGGGATGTGTTCTAAAGGATACGAGTGTTGTACAGTGCTGCCAAGTTCTAACTTAAACTTTTACACCTTCCTTACATCATCTAGTAATAGGTGATGAGGATAGACAAACCTATCAGCTGAAGAAAGGCTGATAGTTTCTAAAGAAACTGTTTGGCGCTGCGTTGGTGAGGGTAACGAAATAATTTGAATATATCAACAAAGTTGAAATGGTAAATTGGCCACCGTTACGGTTATAAAAAGCTGACGTTTCGAGCGTTAGCCCTTCATTGGAGCGAATATTCATCTATTTGCTCCGAATATTTGTCTATTTGCTCCGACAAATGGCTAATGCTCGAAATGTCAGCTTCTATAACCGTAACGGTGGCCAATTTACCATTTCAACTTTGTTGATATATTCAAATTATCAGCTGAAGGGTGTGTTTCCTTGACTTAATTATTTCTTAAGGCTAACTTACATGGAACTGTCTTGCAACTGTAAGAGGGCACTGCCAATCAGATTCCAAGAGTTGAGATGCCATAATCAGTGAAGACTGACTCCTTATCTTTTCCCCTATCCCTTAAACAGGAGAAGTTGTTCACTTCAGTGGTGGACCACTTGTCCATGCTGTGCTAGCAACAGAAGGAGCCAGGTTAGTGCAAAGTTTATTTCTCTTTGTTTTGCCTTATACCCTCTCAACCAGGTTACCTTTACATAGACAGTTCTGACGAAAAAATTCAACTATGAATAGTATTGCTTAAAGAAAGCTAGTTGATTACACAAGGGGAGAATTGAGTTTTCTGAAACAGTACATTCATAGTAAGCTGACATGTGTCACCATGTTATGTCCTCTTTATGGAATTCATAACTCATCTAGAACTTTACTGAATTTTTCAGCTTAGGAAGCAAGGATCTTCTTACATTATCAGTCTATCAGGTGAGGGCTCACTCGTCTTAATTTTGGACTTGTAAATCTAATTTTGGTGTCACACATTGGTATTACTGTCAGTCTCTTTCAGTCATAGCTGTCTGAATGGCTGGAAAATGGCTGTAATTTGTCAATGGATTTTTGTAAAACCATACACAAGCTTTTTAGTGAGTAGCTGTCTTACGTGTGATGACTTCACATTTGTTATGTTTGCAGAAAGTCCTTGGGGCAACACCTTACATCAAGTGGGGAAGCAACTCAATATCAAACCGGTATGGCATAACTCTCAATTCATGATAAGGGATAGAACTTTCTGTCATTTAAACCATAGAAGCTGCAGAAGCCAACAAGATAAAAAATCGTGCAATCATTGTAGTATCAAACAAACAGCGAGATTTCAGAGGATCTGATGCTCTTCCCAGTCTTCCGAGCTATTTGAGGAATGCAGCGATTTCTGAATAATTTGAAAATTGTATAGACTGAAACATAATTTTAAATTGTATAGACTGTTTATGATGCTCATGAGAGAGACGTGAAGAATGAAAAGTGCAAGTTTGTCCAATCATAATAACAATTTAGCAATCCTTCTCACCCAATTACAAAGTTTGACAAGTCTGCATGGCTTGTATTGTAAATGAAAGCTATGTAACCCAGCCATTAGCACTTGATACAGTGCACCTTTACTTGGTAACGGAAATGGTCATTGTCCACTTCCAGGCTTCTTATGGCTGCAACTGAATCCACAAGTGGAGCAGTAGCTGTAAGTTCACATTTTAGTTTCTTTTTCTGTGCAACAAATGATATTTATTTGTAAAAAAAAACCTGATTCATGTCTCTTAGGAAGGAGTCTTTTGTCTTTGATCCTCCTCCTCCTCTTCAGGGTGGAGTGGAGATCATTTTCCCATTGAATGATAATCAAGCCTGCATCTAAACTTTAATGTTTTTGTCACACAGAATGCATATATCTTATTAACTAAGCGCGAGGGCCGTACTGGGAGAATATTGGCCCGAGGGCTGATATTCTTCCAGTACAGTCCTCAGCAAGCTTGGTTAATAAGAGATTTATTATATGACTGAAGTTCAAAGGGACACAAGTGAAGTATCATTCGGGATCATTCGGGACAGTGCCCAGTCCAATACTGAGAGAATATTGACCGGCAATTGAGCATTTTGATTGGTTGATTTTAGTAATTGGCCCTCTGACTGCCCGAGTCATGTAATAAAATTTTTTACAGAGTGGGGGGTTTGTTGTGTCTCAAGGATCCTGACTTTGTGAGGAAGGTTTATTGAGCCTGTGGCTGGACATGAATGTTAATCATATTTTAAAACATGACTCTTGGGAAAGGTTTTCCGGAAATAGTGGAACTCTTTGGGAATCGGGCATTTTTTTTTAAATTTTTGCCATTGTAGGCTTAAAATACAGCACTACAAATAAGGTTTCAAAATAGTCAAGATTTCAAAATGGTCTATACATACCTTTTATTTCAATCAGGCATCAGCTTTCAATGCCAGCTACTCTGACAGTGGACTTTTTGGATTTTATGTGGTTGCAGAACCTTCAGATGTATCCAAGGTACAAATTAGTTGGTTTCTTGGCTAATTAGGAAAGGTTTATATAGTTTGTTTTTTTGTTTTCCAACTAAAATTATTTTGGGTTAATTTTAATTCTTTTTTTTTTTTTTTTTTAACCTACAGGTTATGAAATCAGTCATTGGCCAGTTTTCCAAAGCAGCCAAGGGAGAGATCTCTGATCAAGAAGTTGCCAGAGCAAAGTGAGTCATGTTAAAAATGATATGGGGGTGACTTACTATAGCTATTCTCTCCACTCCCAGTGGCGAATTGGTCCAAGGAAAACTGTCTGCCATATTTCTCTGTTCAAGGTTATCTTCTCAGCTACATATGGATCCAGGGGTAGCCTGCCTTGCCTGCCTCGTTTTCCCCAGTTCTTCTGCAGCTGTTCCAGGGACAATCTTGACTCCTGTGGGTTCCACCTGTTTGTAGGTTCCACCCCAGTACATGCTTGTAGATACTTTTGTTTGGTTTTCTGAGGATGTGCCTAACCCAACTCCAATTTTGACTTCTAATCCGGTTATTGATAATTTTCTGCTAAGCTTTTGCTGTGCAGCTCGTCAATCCTGACCTGTTTAAAGGATATGAACAGGATTTTCCTCTGAGTGGGCTACATCAGTTTCTTACTTTGTTTGTTTTGTTTTGTGTTGTTTTGTTTCGTTTTGTGTTTTCGATTTTCCACTCTTTTTTTGACAAAGAGGGCGGTCATAGTCCCCCTGGGCTCCCCTCTCTGGACCTACCTGTGACTACTCCCCTCCGGGTCCATGATTAAGTTTCATAGTCTCGCTTGTGTGCAATCAGTGAGACCAGTTTTATGTTCGTATTCGTGTTGACATTGCCATAGGAATCAGATGAAAGCACATATTTTAATGAACGGCGAAAGTCAGGAGACGCTGTTCGAAGACATTGGCGCACAGGTGAGTTTTATGCCATGCGTAGGGAAATAGCATTTTGCAGGACTCAGCTGGATCCTTGTTTTACTCTTAAGACCCCAGAAGAATGCTTTGTCCTTCGGTTGTTTAGTGGGACTCAAGATCCTGTAGGTGATGCCTGTTTCAACTCAGTTACGGGGAGTGCATTAGTTAATGGGTTCGAGGTGAGCAATTTTACATTTCAGAGGGTGAAAAAAAACTAGCATCACATCCATGTGGAGTTGAAATTTTCCTGATCGGTTTGCAAGGTTGTGGTTAGGGAAAGGCGCCAGCGCTGCCTGAACTGAAAGATTTTCTGACTCTCGGAAACCGTATATCGAAAACGAATCGTTCGTAAGAACGGTTTTTACGTGAGGCGTGAGTAGTCCAGTGGTCAGTGCGCTGGACTCTAGGTCAGATGGCCCAGGTTCAAGTCCTGGCTGGGGCTTGACGTTGTGTCCTTAAGCAAGACGCTTCACTCACATTGCTTCGTCTTCTCGGATAGGACGTAAAGCCGGAGGTCCCGTCTCCTGCACCTATCAATTAGTTAATTTCGGCAAGGGACGTTAAAGAACCCACATCACGAGATTACTGTGATGTGGTCTGGCCTGTTTACTGGGAAGGGGGGGAGGGGGCATCTGTAAAAATTTCTCCTTTATTAATTGTAAACTGCCGCCGGCAGTCTGGAAAAGTCCCCCGCACAGTGTTGTAAAGCGCATTAGAGCATTTACATGGAAATGCGCTATAGAAATTGATCTATATTATTATTATTATTATTATTATTATTATTATTATTATTATTAATCTGTTGCGACAACAGAAGTCAGAGCCATCGATAATTCCCGACGGATATTAATCCAACGAAAATTTTTCAATGGAATAATAACGGCACTTCTCGCGATTAAAAACAGTATATCTTGTAAATAAACATTAGCTTGGGACAATGATTC